TGTTCTTATTCGACTGCATTTCTTATTCAGTATTTCTTTATATTGATTGCTTGTACGAAATTTTGCATATCTTGCACCATATAAGTCAAACAAATACTTATCAATGGCAGCTATTCTTGCTTGATCAAATGCTTTTGTACCACGAACATAGCCGTCAACCGATGAAACTTTTAATTCTTCTTCTGTAAATAATGTTGAATAAAGATAGGCCAGAAGATGACGGAAGCCAGTTTCTTTGTTTAATAATTCTTGGCTCGTTGCCAATTGTTGTCTATCATGTTTATCTTTCATAACATGAAATGTTTTTTGTGTGTGAGGATCATTGGGTACTACTTGAGTTTTTTATAAAACAACGTTTCATATAAAACATACAAAACACTGCTAAAAATAGTTCTTTATAGTCTATACTTATATTTGACGCTTTAACTGATGAAGATAAATTCGTAGACATACTGGTTGAAATTTGACTATCAGCTTTTTGTCTTTTCGATAAAAGGTTCTAAACGATATAAGAATTTCCTGCTCTACAGAGGTACACATTTGACATACCACACTAATTGAAGTTGATAAAAATGATTTGTCACTATCTACATTTAAATAATATGGACGTTTTGAAGTACGACTTGGAGATGATTCAAAATCATAATGTGAGTACAATAATTCATTTGCGGATGACATGTCTTCAGTTGGTGTTGATTTCGGTGCCGGTGTGCTTTCCGGTTGGTTTAATAACATTAATGTGGATTTATCTATAATTGTGCTGTGTGTTGTATCTATACCATAAGAAACTGATCCAACCTAAAACGAAGTTGTATGACAATAATTACAAGACTCATTAACAAAGACAGAATAATAGAATTCAATGACTTTTCTCCAGAGAAACAAATTTTGGAAACCTATTTATTCGAAATCCGCGTGTTTGACTCCACTTTGCGATTTACATATCTTGACGAGATTGAAGAGATTTTTCGGTCGAGCAGCACCGCTTAGATTTTCAGGGTATGCAAGATTATAGATTATACTCTTTAGGTCGCACTTTTAAATTTCAAAGTCTCCTGCTTTTTTCATTCGTTTTGATGTTTTTCTTCTGCACGCATATATAGATAGATACAGAAGTCTAAAAGATGACAAAAGAAGAAATTTCATATTATTGAGAAAGTGGTTGGCTGTCTTTGAAGAAGTAATCAAATCAAATAGAAAATCATGTGAAGGTTGATAGATATATAAACTACATTATGCAAAGCAGTCTTGTATAATAGAGGTCTGGGTGTGGGTAAACATGAAGTGTCACCACACCCACCCACACCCACACCCATATGCACACCCTTACTAAACCGTGTTTTTGTAAATGTTCATTTTATTTTATGTGCTTAATATTTGTAATGCAATGCCCTGAGGAGTGTTTCAATATATTAAGAAATAAACATGAAGCGTGTCGGCGTTAAATTAAATCTGCATTATTTTTAAATCAATTTTATTCAAGCACATTTACAATTTATTAATTCAAATCATATTTATTTCAACTTTGTCGATTGCTGAAAAGTAAAAGCTGAGAGTAGCAGATTAGTATATATTATATAAAAAGATATAGATTGATCCGTTTTTAATTGATTAATTTTCACAAGGGGTATGGAAGTACGGGGATGTCTTTCACAAATATCAGGAGTAGTATTGTGAGGACGTCCTGTGGTGATCACATGATCATAACGTTCGACTTCACTACCAAACACTCTTTAGGGTCTTATCTACTTGGTACTAAACCTTGTAGATTTTAGGTATCGTACTTTGATTCAGGTTTATTCTTAACTTCAGATCTCTTAAGTTGATGCTTCTGCCACTTGATAAGTTTTTGAGACAGTAATATCGAAATACCTACAGTATTGTGGTAGCTTTACCACACCCACAGCCACATACTCGTGGTAACTTATACACATACACACACACCCCAGATAGTTTGTGTCTTTAGAAAATCTTTGATATTTGTTATTAAAAAGTTTTCATTATGAAAATAGATACTGACTTCCATAGTCGACTAAGATTATAGTTTACGTTAATTCTATTTTACAAAAATTTTTTAATGTGCAGATGTCTTTTATTAATTATTGTATCTATTAAAATTTAATTAAAATTTAATTATCTTGTTTCAGGGTTACATCCTTATATAGATATAATATTAAGAATTCCACCTGAAGAAGTTCCTCCAAAACAGAAACAACTGTTATCGTGGAACGGCGATTATTCTAAATCACACACTCTATCACACCCACAATCACCAAAGATTGACCTATTTTCAAGTTCATTAATATACACACCATAAACCCTTGTAAGCTAAATTTATTATGATACGAGGAATAATTTAGAAATTAGAAAGAAAAAAATGGATTGTTAGAAGAGTAAAATAATATTAATGTTAAATTAGTATTCATAAGCAAGATTCATTAAGGAAAAAAATGAAAAGATATGTTTATTATTTATTTGTTTGTTATGGTTGATATAACTCAGCACTATTCAAATAGCCATAAATGCCGAGTCCACCAGCCACTAACACTTT